ATGTTGAGCAACATGTCCCACACTGAATGAGATATAAGGCCTAGTATGGCATATGTACAAAAGTGAGTCAACTATACTTCTGTATTTGCTGGCAATCTGAACTAGTTTGCCCTCCTCATGAGAGAGTTTAGGAGACATCATAGGTGTAGCACAACTTGCTGCATTCCCCATTCCAGTTTTTTTGAGTAATACTATAACATATTTTCTTTGACTTAGTATGATTGAGTTGTTAAGACGTTTGACCTCAATCCCCAAAAAGAAGCTTAGCTCCCCAAAGTCCTTTAATGAAAATCGATCATACAATATCGAGACAACATTTTGTATAACATTAGAATCTTGGCCTGTCATCACTATATCATCTACATATACAAGGGCATATACATAGTTGTCATGTGCATATTGTACAAATAAGGATGAGTCTGCTCGATAGACTACAAATCTCATATGCAGTACGTTGTCTTTAAGTTTCGAGTGCCAATTGCGAGGTGTTTATCGAAGACCATAAAGTGTCTTCTCCAGCTTGCACACAAGTGGTTGACCAAGTTCATCATTTTTCTCAAATCCAGGGGGTTGTTGCATGTACACCTCCTCACTTAACTCTCTATTGAGAAAGGTATTGTTGATATCAACATGCCTAAGTTTCCACCCACTGGAGACTGCTATGGCTAGTATTGTGTTGAATGTTGAAAAACAGACTACAGGACAAAAGGTGTCCTTGAAGTCCTGGCCTGGAATCTGTGAGAATCATTTGGCTACCAGGCGTACTTTATACCTGTTTATTGATCCATCAGGGTTGTGCTTGACATAAAAGAGCCATTTACATCCCACATCCATCTTATCCTTGGGAAGCTTAACTAAAGTCCACGTGCCATTGTTGAGTAGAGTATTGTATTCATCGTGTACTACTTCAGCCCAGTGAGGTGATTGAAAAGCAGTACGAATTGTAGTTGGGACCTCATCATCCAAGCTAGTTGAATATACTTTAGGTTTGAAGATGCCACAATGACTGCGTGTCATCATATGATGAATACGAGTTTGAAGTGTATTATCAGCAGGTTCAGATGGTACAAGAACAATAGAGGATTCAGGGATATTAATAACTGGTTCAGAAATATCACCTTGTATGCCATCACCTGATATACTGTCAGCATCTGTATCCACATCTACATCTTCAACTGAAGCAGTTTCTTCTGGCTGAGCATCAGAAGAAACATGTGGAAATGTGTCTACAGGGATTTGTTGAGATACACTGTTGTCCATTTCGACTTCATTGGGAACCACTGCACCATCATATTCTTCATGTATTGTAGTTGTATTAGGCAGATGATGTGGAGACTGAGCACGTGAGTTTTTGACTGGTGTAACAACTTGAGCACGTGAGTTTCTGACTGGTGTAACAACTCGCAGAGATTGAGTGTAAGACATGGAGTTGGCTGTTGAACTCAAGTGATCACAACTGCTTTTCCCTGCAAATAGAAATATAGACTCGTTAAACACAACATGATGAGAAATATATACTCGTCCATCAGTTGCCAAGCATTGGAATCCCTTGTACTGAGGGCTAACTCCAAGGTAAGTGCACACTTGTGACCTAAAGGACAGTTTGTGTTTTTAAAACATCCTCAAATGAGAAAAGCACTGGCAACCAAAAACCTTCATCATAGTGTAGTAAGGTTTTTTTCCAAAGAGCTTTTCAAATGGTGAAGCATTTTTTAGGACTTTGGTAGGCAATCGATTAATTAGATATATTGCATATGACCAACACTTTATTGATATAGAGGCTTGAGCTAATAGCACTAATGCCATCTCGACAATGTGACGGTGTTTTCTCTCAACTACACCGTTTTGCTCAGAGGTGTGTGGATAAGTGAGTCTGTGCACAATGCCTTCTCGAGCTAGTAAGGGCGAGAAACTGCGAAACTCACCACCCCAGTCTATTTGTAGTACTTTGATGGTGCTGTCGAATTGATTGGCTATAAATTTCTGAAACAATTGGAATGCTAGGTATGCTTCACCTTTATGTTTCAAGAGATATATCTATGTGTGACGTGTGTATGCGTCCACAAAGGAAATGTAAAACTTAAATCCATTTGAAGACACGTGTGGGGGTCCCCATAAGTCAGAGTATACAAGTTCAAACGAGGAGGCTACCATTGTATTTTAATTACTAAAAGGTAATTTGTGGCTTTTGCCTAAATGACATGCCACACATTCTTTATTTACATGAGAATGAACTTGAAAACTTAGTTCAGAAGCTATTCTTGATAGAATTTTAGCTGCTGGATGGCCAAGTCGCTTGTGCCATAGCTCATCTAGTGGGGTTGATTCCAACTCGGCATTTGTTTGTGCCACATGAACTTGTAATGGTTCGTTATTCATTGCAAATAAATATAAGCCATCAATTTCATCTCTTTCAAGTAGCATTTGTCCAGTATCCTAGTCTCGAACGCAACATCGATTGGCATGAAATTCAATGAAAACATTGTTGTCCCTAGCAAACTTCGAAACCGAGAGTAGGTTCTTTGTTATTTGTGGCACTTGCAGCAAGCTATTCAAGAAAAGTACACGTGAAGAAGTATTGACTTGAGCATGGCCAATCAAGGCAACATCAAGGGGCATTCCATGTCCAATTAAAAGCTTACCTGGACCTCGATACTCAGAGGAGTTTAGCACTTTATTAGCATCTGCAGTAACATGGTGTGTAGCTCCTGTATCAACCACCCAGCGTTCAGATTACACAACAGCAGTATGGGCTTGTGGTTGATTACCTACACCTGAAGCATTCCTTTTCTTTGCACAACACTCACATCCTTCATCATCAGGTGACACTGTAAAACTGCCAGAAAAAAGTGTAGCTTTGTATTCAGATGAATATTGGCCTTGCTGAACAGAGGGAACACAAGAGAAATCTTTATCATATTTGTGCCAACATCGATCAACCAGATGCCAATCTTTCCACACAGTTGGCACTGAACCCTGGACCTGCCACGACTTCTACCACTGGATCGAGAGTTATACGAGTAATCAGTCCTTTGATTAGAACTATTGTGCACCATTGAATTATTTCTTACTTCACCTTGTGCAACATTTGCAGCCATAGGCAACATTTCAAGCTGATCATCGAAACTAGCTAATTGAGTTTCTGCATCAATTAGCATAGTAGAGATGTTGTCTAACGACATGGTGTCCCTCTTTGATGTGATGAACGCCATGAACGGCTGGTACTCTCTAGGGAGTCCTTTCAAAATGCTAGCAATATGTTCAACTTGAGGAACTGTGTTGCCACAAGAAGCTAGGGCATCACATACCTCCTTTACACGCATAAGGTAAGCTCGCATTTAAGGATTGAAATTTGTAGTGAAGGCTCATAACTGCCGTTGTTGAGCGATTGGCAAAGAAATGTAGGACAGTGTTCCACACAGCTGCTACTATTTTAGCGCCTATAAATTGAGGGAGAAGATGTGGGCTGATTGTGGAAAATAACCATGAGGCCAAAGCACTGTCTTGAGCTACAAAATCTTCATAATTGTTGTTGATACGAACCGTGCCATCATCATCGACCACTGTCTCCGGCGAAGTCGTTGTTGCTCTTGTAAGTAACCGCTCCAGCTGATGACTTCTGACGGTGAGCAGGATCTGCTGCTTCCAAAGGAGAAAGTTCATCTTATCTAGGACTACATTTACCTTTTTATTTGTAAATGATTTCGAGCCCATGATGGACTCCATCAAAACCAGTTCAGGCAGCAGAAGACAATCTCGAAATCCCAATATCAATGGAGAATGATACCATATTGGAGAGGTGGTAAAGGCAACAAATATTATTGAAGTAATTCACACTGATTACAACGCAAGGCTGGTGTTTATATACAACACACACAACTCATAACCGCACTATAACAGAATAACCACTCCTAACAGCTCAACAACTTCCTAACAGCTTCTTAATAGCTATTGCCAGCATGGCATGGCAGTAAGACTTGCTTCTTCCCTCATTCTGCTAACAATGTTTGTCAATTATTATATGAATTAAATTGTAGAGTCTAGTCTAAGCTTTTAGATGGTTGAGTGTGTGAGATATGGATAGGAATGAGTTCATTTAATAGTGTTTCCTATCTCAAAAGAAAAATTGTAGCTGGTTGAAAATTTTATAATTTGAATGGACTGACTAGTGAGATGTTCAACCTTTGTTGTATTTGGGCAGATCGTGGATACTACTCAGTCGAGACTGTCACACTCTTAGTGGCCTTGAAAGTCCGTTATAGAGAGAGAATCACAATTCTAAGAGGAAATCACGAGAGCCGACAGATAACTCAAGTGTAAGATCTTTCCACTAGATTTCCTCCTTTCTTTTAATGATGTTATATCAGATACAGGAACAAAGAAAACAACATTTAAGCTTTGCTTGAAAGGGTGAAAAGGTTTAAATGTAAAAAGAAATTGTCGACCGAATGATTAAGTTACTAGATAGGAAAGGTGTTACAAAGCTTAATCATTGGTAAAAACTGCAGTTACCATGTAAGGCCTTCATTATTTCTACTAGTAAAATTTCCAAACTCTGTTCCCTGTTTTGTTTATATGGGTTCACTCTTTAATTTACCAACTTCCCCTGTGTTTTGAATCAATACTCCCTTCCAAAAAATACCTTCGAAAGGCCTGTGGATTCCATGCCATGCCTGAAGCAATACAAAGATACTAGAGATAAGGATGTCAAATTTGACATTTTTCAGTAGTTACAAACATAAAGCAACTAATGAAAAGGGAAATCTCATTGCCATTTAATTTATAAAGAGAACTTTGAAAATCTTGGGAGTTTGTTTATTGGTGTTTAGAACTTCTCACATTGCATTGTATGATGAGGTGGTATATGGGTTGCCACATTATTGTTTTTAAAGTTTTATTTCCCCTCCTTGTCAGGTATGGTTTTTATGATGATTGCTTGAGAAAATATGGAAATGCCAATATGTGGAAGCATTTACAGACCTGTTTGATTATTTACCACTCAGCTCTTATTGAGAGTCAGTTCTGACTTCAACTTTACCAGACTGTTTAAGTTATTGTCATGATAGCTTCTGAAAAGCATAGCATTTTGACATCACAGATCTTTTGTTTGCATGGAGGACTGTCACCATCTTTGGAAACATTAGACAATATTTGAGACTTGGACCGTATGCAGGAGGTATGTATACGAGTGATACTCTCAGCTTTCGTTGGTCATCTTGATCCATGTTCAAGTGGTGTACTGGTAATTTGCCATATACTTCGAATTATGAAGACTTGTTAGATTATGAATGGTAGGATAGTTGAGACTTGAGAAAATGGCCAACAAGTTTCTGTTGGGGTCTATGGTGCCACTGAAATTTGTGATTAAGTTGCCTCGAATCTTTGGTGCATTATTTTCGAAACTTTACGATGTTCATCATTATCTGGCTCTCTTGTTTTTATAATCCTGCATTCTGTGGGTCTATTCATGGTAGGTTCCCCATGAAGGACCAATGTGTGATCTTTTGTGGTCTGATCCTGATGAGCGATGTGGTTGGGGTATATCTCCACGTGGTGCCGGTTATACATTCGGACAAGATATTACTGAACAGTTCAACCATACCAATGGTCTCACTCTGATTTCACGAGCCCATCAGCTTGTGATGGAAGGATACAGCTGGTGTCAGGTGTGGGAACCAATTCAAGACATATTTTCTAACATGTTTTACTGTCATACAAGTATAATTGATTCCTTATTATGTGCTTCCCTTCAGGACAAGAACGTGGTTACCGTCTTCAGCTCTCCGAATTATTGTTATCAGTGTGGGATCATGGCTGCAATTTTAGAGGTTGGGGAGAATATGGACCAGAGGTTTCTTCAGTTTGATCCAGCACCCTGGCAAATCGAGCCCGACACCACACGCAAGAATCCCGATTATTTCTTGTAATTATATTATATGATATGATAACATATGCTAGTTGTTCCTACTTTTTAGCTTCCGTTTACTGATGTATGTCTGCTAAAGCTAGAAGCTTTTATACAAAGTTTTGGTTCATCTTCAGTTCATTCTTTGATGTTTGGAGTTTGTGCAGCTGCTGCACTGATAAAGGCTCGAATGACCTTTTTGTATTTGTATATTTCTCACAGTTTGCATCAATTTTCACGCTTTTTCATCTAATTTCAACTAGTTGTTTCTACTGCATCTGGGAAAAAGAAAGCTAAACTCCCTTCTGATATTTCCTTGTTGTATGAAGATCTCCCAGAGGCATAACGAATCCATCACACCGATCAGTTCCGGTATGCAATTTGCGATACTGAACATGTCTATCAATCAGTTCAATGTAATATCATCCGTAGGTTTTAGAAATCTTTTTTTTTAGGAATTTGACATAAATAAAGCAAAAATTTAAGGTCAATTTGATATTTTATTTAAACTTTAGATGTTAAATTAAAAGTTAATTATTTTTAAGGGGTTACGTTATCAAATAAATTGATAAACATAAGTAGAGATTATCGTGTTGAGATTTTGGCCCACTTGAACTTGTCCCAAAAATTAAATTCATTTGCCTGCACTTGACTCAATTGGGGTTTATGAGGGCTCTATTTAATCTGAAATTCGATTCAATTTTTCTAGTCAAAACTTTACCTGATTCAACCAAATTTATATATTCATTTTCATTAGGTAAAATAAAAATTTTCTTGAAAAAATAATATAAAATATATATTATTGTAATAATTTTTAAATATGTAAAAGATAATTATAATATTATATCGAGTGATTTTTTTATCATAACCCTGAATATAACCTGATTTATCCCTTAAAAACCTCAAACCGGCCCGAATCTAAATTTTCAAAATAAAAAACTGACCTAAATGGATCAGGTCGGGTTGGAATCCATCGGATCGAGATGAAATAGCCATACCAAAACATAAGTGATTAAACAATAATATTTTTAAATTAGTGATCAAAATATTGTAGTTTACCCTAAACCTTTATCATCTCTTGTATGTCCTCCTTTCAGCTCCAAGAACTGTTTATGTTTTCTCACAAATGGCGATGGCGATAGCCTTATCATGCAGCCATCTCAGTCCTACAGCCAAGCTTCCCCACTCAATGTCCCAACCCACAACGCTTCCCTTCCCTCACAAATCGTTCAGCCTCAAATCCCCAATATTCCCCATTTTCCGTAGCCAGGTCGCTCTCTTAATCGAATTTCGAAACCCCTTTTCTTCAATTTTGCTAAATCACCGATTTGTTACTGAATTTTTGCTTCTTTTAAATTTCAGTATGATGGTTCGGGTTACGAGGAAGCCGAGGCGGTCGACGAACCTTTCTTCCGCGATTTGGTTGAAGAGAGCGACGACGATGAAACAGAGAGCAGCATTGATTTATTGATGAGATTCTTGCAGATCGTGTTCAGGAAAGTCTCGAAGCGTGCCAAGAAGGCTTCTTGCTCTATCTTACCTGCTGGAATATCGCCCCAACTGGTAAATTACTCAAATTTCTTCTTGCTCTTTGTCTTTGAATAGTGTCTTGATGCTATGAATTAACCTATGTGTTGGTATTTATTGTTACTCTATATGTTCAATTTACACTCTCTTTGCAAGTGTAATTACTGCTAATGGGGATTAAGTGAGTATCGATATATACTCGGACATCTAGTTGAATATGTATATATATACGGACATCATGGTCATACTTGAAGTGTTAATGTTGTGTTTCTGTGTAAATAGCAAAACTGTTAGCTCTGAGGCTCATTTTATTTGCTTGTTAGTGCCAACATTGATTCCTATTGTTGGTTTCTCTGTGTTTCGGATCTCGACCTCGGAAAAATCAGGTGTCCTTTGCAGTTGATGGAGTGCTCTTATTGGCTGCACTTTCCATTCTCAAATCACTTCTTGAGGTATCAGTTCCTAATTCTGTATATGGTTAAGATATCGGTCTGTGTTACTCGTATACGAATATGTATCTGACACGGGTATAGTTAGTTTTTTTTTAGAAGTTTTTCATGTATTTGGAGAATCCTTGGAGGCCACATCTTCGTATCCATATGTTGTGCACAAGTGTAGAACACGGGTATTTTAAGAAAAACAAAGAGTCTGTTACATAGGTGTAGGTTGATGCTGCTAATAGCCTAATATGATGTTTAAGCTTCGACTAACACATGGATACAGCAATAGATTTTCATTATCTTAAATCTATATCTTGTATGCTACCTTACATGATATAATAAGCTGGCCTAAATCAAACCGAACCATTATGAGAGAGTTGGATTAAGCTCCTATTGCTGCAGATTGAAGCCGCCTTCTGTATGGTTCTTCATAAATCATCTTCCCCTTACTTAGATAATGAAAATAATTGCCAAAATCCTAAATGATATGAACTATATGATAACAGGTGGTTTGCACTCTTGGAGGCACTGTATTTGTTGTAATAATGCTCCTTCGCGTGATTTGGGCTGCTGTGTCGTATTTTCAACCGATTAGCAACAGTTTTAACCAAGGTGAGGGTTCATTTGGCGCTTCACAGCCAATAATATAACCTCATCATTGGCTAAAGATAGGTTTTGGAAGTTTTTTTATACAGATGTGCTGCTATTTCCTCTTGTACATTAGACTAGGAAAATGCAAATATGACAACCGTGTACACTTTTTTACACTACCACTATTGAATAATTTATCATATGGCGTAAAACAATGGTGGAGCTGTTAGGTACTGAGTTGAGCATTCTTTTAGACATCAATGGTAGCTCTATGGCCCATGTTGAGAAAGGAAGATTGGTTCTCTATGGTTTAATATGATGCATTTTGTACATCTTTGGCAACAGCTAGGAGTGATTGCAGATTGTTTCTCGAGTTTTTCTAGCTTGTCTGGTTCTTTATGAACCGGTGTCTGTACACATCTCCACTCGGGGTGATGTACCGTGACTCTGTTCCGTCGTCACTTGTGAACGGAATGTTAAACCGGTAGCATGAAGCGTATGTTCACCGTACTCGAATGCCGAATGAAATCAACCAAGCACTGATCGATACTGTTGAATGATGTCTGGAATTACTCCATTCAAGGGATAACACTGTTGAATAATTATGTCAAACTATGTTAAACATAATTCATCACAAAAATAGCTTGATTATGGCACGCATATACAAACATGTTACAATCTATGTAAATAAATTATTAACATATAAGTGTATAGAAAATTATAATATTTAGTGAATATAACTAACGAGAAGATATGAAAATTACATAAATTCAATAAAGATGTACAGACATAATAAAGTTCACCTAAAAGTTACTAAAATTTATCTAACTAAAAGTTTTATATACATTTATAATATTTTATTCATAAAAGGCCTTAAAGTAAAAATAAAACCCTAAATTATGTATTTTTTTAACTTTAACCTCCTAAATTATTTTTTTATCAAAATAAGTTCTTAAACTATTATGTATAATCATTCTAAGTTGTTCATTTTTTAAGTCAGATTTTTTTTCAGCCAATGAGATGAAGTAACCTTTAAATTGAACATCTTTTTATATGTTTATTTATAGGGTAAACTATGCATTTAGTGTATAAATTATCAGTTTTGATTTGTTTTAGTACTTAAACTTAAAAAAAATCAAAATCATACCTAAAATTTAGTTTTTATTTTATTTTAGTACATTATCGTTAAAAATATAACATGTTTAGTACATAAACTATCAGTTTTGGTCTATTTTAGTACCTAAACTTTCAAATTTTAACGTTAAATTTTGAATGGACTACTTAAATGAAACAAAAACTAAAGTTTTTATCTGCGGGTACTAAAAATGAAAAATAATTAAACTTTAGGTATTGCTTTGAAAAAAATTGAAAGGTTAAGTACTAAAACAGACCAAAATTGATAGTTTAGGTACTAAACGCGTGATTTACCCTTATTTATATTTCAATTTAAATAATTTACTTATATTCAACATTAAATTTAAGTTAAACTTTAACGTTCAATTATATTGATGAAGTAATTGATTGATGTAATGTTAACATTTTCAAAATGTAATTAGAACATTTTGAAGTTTAAAGATCAATTTGAAACATAAACCATAAATTGGGGATGCCTATTACAATTAACCCTTATTTATTTATCGAGTTTTGTTTAGGTTTTTTTCCCTCTTTCGCTCAGAAATTTCACTCCGAGTCTCGAGTCTCGAGTCTGAACTCTGAACAGCATTTGCCATTAGCTTTCTTTGACTCGCAAAGATGTTCGCCTCAACTCAACTAGCCAAAAACTAAACAGGATTTCTGGGTTTTCACCTTTCTCTATTTTGGCTTGCATCACCTCGTTTCATAAGGTTTGATTCTCTTCCCCTCGATATTTTCCTCTTTTTGGTTTCCTTATATTATTCTGCTTAAAATCAAGAATCTTTCTAATAGTCGATTGTTGGATGTGAAATTTATGGGGGGGGGGGTTAGTTACGAATTTATGTTTATTTGCTAATAAAATATAGTTTGTTATCATTAAGAATTGCGTGTATAATAAACTAAAAATGTATACAATTTAGTAATTTTACTGGGTTCTTTTTTTTGAATTGAAAAGAAATACTCACACACTCAACTGAATGAAAACGAATGCTCCCCCTTCTGAATACTAGTTCTTTTAGGCGCCCATTCCTCACATTGTTTTCCAAAGTCCCTAGCCGTCCTTTGCCTTTGGAAGGCAAGGTCAGTCACCAACAACTATGCATATCTTGTATTCTCACGATTTCAATATGAATATGAATTTGATTGGTTGGGCATGTTTAATTCAGTCTCTTATGAGCTGTGAGTATATTTTTATAATTAGCTTTATTATAAGTGTTCAAGGATTTTTGGCGTTGGTATGAATGATGGAAATGAGGAAGGATGGAAACTTTGTTAATCAAATGATTAAGATTCATAATAACTTTCTTACTTTGAATCTTATCCATTTGATTTACAAATTTTCCATCCTTTCTCATTTTCATCCTTCATACCGAGCAAAACCTTTGAGTTTTTTTGCGGCACTAAGCTCCATCATACCTCTATTGGATGAAAATTTTGGGTTAAAGTTTTAACTCTAGGAGTAGCATTGAATTCAACTTTCTCTCTCCTTATTTTTGATGTGATTGAATGGATGTCTAAACGTGAACTGGATTGTGTTGAAAAGATGTATTTGCATGGCTTTGAAACAATTAAATTTGTGGTAAACTATTGGAACAAAATAGTGCAAAAATAAAAGTATATCCATAGCTGTGTCCTCAACAGATTCTTCATTTTGTTGTGTTTATGTATCTAACCAAAGGACAACTTTTCTTTTCAATCTCAGGTTGAATTTCAGGTTTCCGCCGTTGCTAAATATTAAAAAAGCTGCTTGAGAAACAGATAGAAACCAAAAGCAAAAGGCAGAAAATGAATCAAACAGAGTCAGAATTGCTAAAGGCCTTAACCAAAATCATACAAACCTCAAAAAACCCAATAGATTCCTTAACTCCTTTCACTCCTCTACTAACTCCAAACATTCTCCAATCCCTGATTTCCTCTCCCTCCCTTTCCTCCAACCCTTCCATCCTCCTTTACCTCCACAAACTCTCCCTTTCCCTCTTCCCTTGTCTTTCTTCTTCAGCTTCTTTCCTTCTTTCCCTTCTTCCTCCCCTCCTTTCCCACCACAAATTCTCTGAATCTAAATCCCTTCTCCTCTCCTTCCTTTCCTCTGATTCCCAAAATACCCTCTTCAACTCCCTCATTCACAACCCCTCTCTTTCTAAATCAAACCCCTCCTTGAAATCTCAGTATCCAGCTATGTCCAATCAGGGAAACCTCATTTAGGTTTTGAGCTCTTTAGTGTCATGAAAAGGCTTAAAAAGAAACCCAACTTGCTTACTTGCAATACTCTTATCAACGGGTTAATAAAATTCCCATCTTTACATTCGATCCAGTTAGGTAAGCAAGTCTTTTATGATTCTATTAAGCTTGGTGTTATTCCCCAAACAACTACTTTCAATATTATGATTTTAGGGTGTTGTCTAGAAGGTAAATTTAACGAGGCAATTTCCTTTATTGGGAAAATGAAGGAATTTGGTTGTTTTCCTGATAATGTTTCTTATAATACAATTCTTGGATTTTTCTGTAAGAAACGAAGGTTAAAGGAAGCTGGGGATTTGTTGCAAGATATGAAAGAAAAAGGGTTGATTCCAAATAGGAATACATTCAATATAGTTGTTTCGGGATATTGTAAGGTAGGGTGGTTGAAAGAAGCAAGGAAAGTTATTGACATGATGGTGAAAAATGATGTTTTGCCTGATGTTTGGACTTATAATATGTTGATTAATGGGTTGTGTGGAGAAGAGAGAATTGAGGAGGCGGTTAAGTTGAGGGATGAGATGGAGAACTTGAACGTTTTACCGGATGTTGTTACGTATAATACATTGATTAATGGATATTTTAAATGTGGGGGTAGTTCGGAGGGGTTTAGATTGGTTGAGGAAATGAGGGATAAAGGGGTGAAGATGAATGCAGTTACTAACAATATTTTGGTTAAATGGTACTGCAAAGAAGGAAAGATGGATGAAGCAAGTGAAAAAGTTAGAGTGATGGAGGAAAGTGGGATTCTGCCGGATAAGGTTACCTACAATACTTTGATTAATGGATATTGTAAGGCTGGGAAATTGGGTGAAGCCTTTGAGATGATGGAGATGATGGAGAGGAAAGGTTTTAAGATGGATACTATTACACTTAACACAATTCTTCATACTCTATGCAAGGAGAGAAAGCTTAAGGAGGCATCTGAGTTACTGACAAGTGCTAGCAACAGAGGATATTTGCTTGATGAGGTGAGCTATGGTACTTTGTTAGCAGGATACTTGAAGGATGGTACGGCAGACAAAGCATTGAAGCTTTGGAGCGAGATGAAGAAGAAGGAAATTGTTCCTAGTATCATAACTTACAACACCATTATTGGGGGGCTTTGCGAATTGGGAGAAACTGAGCAAGCAATATGCAAGTATAATGAGTTACTTCGGAGTGGTTTAGTCCCTGACTCAACTACTTACAATACTATTATACATGTGTACTGCAAGGAGGGAAAAGTCGAGAAAGCATTTGAGTTACATAACAAAATGGTTGAAAAGTCACTCAAACCAGATGTCTTTGCTTGTAATATTCTGCTTTCTGGTCTTTGCAGTGAGGGTATGCTGGAAAAAGCTCTGAAGCTCTTCAATACTTGGATTTCGGAAGGAAAAATAATTGACATAGTTACTCATAACACAATGATATCGGGCCTATGCAAGGAAGGAAAATTGGAGGATGCATTTCATCTCGTCTCAGAAATGAAAGAAAGGAATCTAAACCCTGATCACTATACATATAGTGCTATTCTTGGTGCTCTCACAAGTGTAGGGAGGACGAATGAAGCAGAGGAATTCATGTCAAAAATGGTTGAAGTGGAAAATTTTCAACAACCGTCCCTACAGATAAAGGAACAGAATGTCAAGACAAGTGAGATGACCGAGGTATATGATTCAGATTCCAATGCTTGCTCAGAGCAGATCATTGAACTGTGCAATCAGGGGAGATATAAGGATGCTATGCGCATTTTTGAAGCGTCAAATAACAAGGGAATTACTTTAAATAAGTCTGCCTATATTGTTTTAATGGAAGGACTTATCAAGAGGCGAAAACGCTTATCAAAAGCTGTCCCATAGAAGTCAATATTTCCTGGAAGTGTTCAACAGGCAAATGTTATCACTTTGTGTTTGACTTAGATTGAGCTGATAGGAGAGTTACTCTTTCTTCACTTGGCCATGGATGAAGATACTTTGAATAAGTCTGCCTGCATTGCTTTGACAGAATCACTTTCAATTAGGCGTAAACGCAATCTGAAGCTGTCCCGTAGTAAGCAGTGTTCATGGGCCAACATTATCACCATGCTTTTGACTTGGATTTAGCTGATAGAACCTCAGGTAAATTATTTTTCTCTTCAATTGGTTATAAATGAGAAAATTCCTAGAAATTGCTTGGTTTTCGTCCCTTTTGCATGGTCGAAGAAATTACCAACGTTAACAAATACCTGGTCATCATTTGGTACATATATGTTTATTTTGTGAATGATTTTACTGACTGGCACTTTAGTTGTTTGCCTTGCCTCATAATTTTCTATTGCCGAGCGCTGCTTTCATTGTTTGAAGTTTCTGAAGTCAAATTGAATGGAAATATTCCACATAGATGTAAAAGGCAGTCATATAAGTATGTACTTTTAATCTCTTGGATGGCTATGCTTGATAGACTTCCTACAAAGGAAAGACTTCACCGTATGGGACTGATTAACGACTGCAAATGTGTTTTTTGTGACAAACATACTGAAACAAGGGACCACCTATTCCTTCAATGTTCTATGGCAGATTTCATCTGGAAATCTGTTTTCTCTATTTCTGGCATTCAGTTTTTTCCAAGTACATGGAATTCTTTTTGTGCATGGGCAACTTCTTGGAAAGGAAAATCTCTGCTCACTTCAATTTTGAAGATAGCTCTCAACGCTACTATCTATTTTCTGTGGGATGAAAGAAACAAGAGACTGTTTCAAAGCCGGTCTAAGAATGCTCAAGAACTGTTTCAAACCATAAGGGATATAGTCAGGCTACACTTAAGGAATAGGAACTTTAATAGAAATGACAATGCTAATATTACTCTTGTAAGGAATTGGGATATATGTGATCTTTGATTTTCTTTGTAAGTAGGTTGCTCCCTGTATTCCAGTATTTCAGTTACTGATTTTGTATTCTGTTACTGTAGCAATTTGCTATTTGGGTAATAAAATTTTAAATTATCCAAAAAAAAAATGATGCTTAAATTGTAATTGGCTGTGATTTTATGGGATAACTCTTCTGTTGTTAATAAAAGAACATTACATTAACGTTGTCCATCACCATTGGGGAGTCCTAAGAACCTAGGAACTAGTGTTCAAACATACCAAAACAATATGATACGATCATCAAAAGAAAAAGAGGTAATAGCTGAGTAATTGTAATGATACTTGTTGCCCGTTTGCTATATGAATCTAGTTATCTTAAACTATCTGAAAAATAGCACTGTGGATCTTGGTTATGTCATCCTGTAATTCTAGAAGATGTAATGGAAATATTGACAGTAAAGTATCGGAAGCTGATCAATAACTGAAATGTGTACACCGTATTAGGAGACCATATGATGTACTTACTGTACTGGGTTTCGTTTGTTCTTTATTTCGTAAGTATGCAAGTCTAAATTGCATCGGATTGTTTGTTGTGTTTCAGGGAAGATAATAGTTTGTTGAATCATGGTAATATTTATGGCAATGGAATTATCATGGATCTTGCAAGAGAATAGGACTTCACATGAAGTGATATTTTATGGGTGAAAGTTGCTGAAAGCTGGAGAAGCATGTTGGCCTCATCCTGAGTATTGATTTTTCTACCAAATACCTCACATCTTTCAAGGCTTTTGTCATTCATAACAAGGTTTGGGTATATGTAATGCATTGTTATATGCCTTTTTATTGTTATTATTTTTTCAATGGAAGAGAGCCTAAGAGATGATTCAAAATTGGGGAATCAAATAAATTTTCCCCCAAGGGCGTTTTGTACATTGGAGATTTTATGTATGTTGAGTCTATGAAATAAGCAGTAAAGAATTGTTGGCTGAAGGTTATATTAGCAAAGAAAGTTCTTCGAAAATTCAAGACGAGATGAAAGTGGATATATCCGACATTCATTCATAGATGTGATCATGATTATTTTTTCTACTAATAACCATTCGAATTTAAATAGTTGTGTCTGCATAATGTATGTATAATCAATCGACTAAAACATTTCTAAACAGACGCAATCACTTATAATCATCTTATACTATTACAAATAACTTATCAACTATAAAATGATAATGGTTTTAACATCTATTTCATTCACTTCGTTATCGTTCGTACTTATAATATTTCCTCTTTTCATTTGGTTACGTTTAGCAATTCATTCAACAAACCGTTTGGTTGATGTCTATTTCTCACTAGAATTAGGGTTAGGATTTCACAATTACTGAAAGGAAAAAGGGTTTTGGCAGAAAAGGATTTCACGAACAAAACAAAGAAGGTGGCATTATAGAATACTCTCGTTTGTGTCTGCTACAATTGATGTCTGACTTATACGTTTAATATATTTAATAAATGAGATCATCATTCAAGTGGGCGTGCCGGAGTGGTTATCGGGCATGACTAGAAATCATGTGGGCTCTGCCCGCGCAGGTTCGAATCCTGCCGCTCACGTTTACACTGTTTCTCGGTAAAGTACGAGTCTTTATCTTTAGCTATTTTGGGATGGTTCGAGTCCGATATAAGCTCCTCTGTTAAATGATTTGATGCCACTTTAACTTTTAAATGTGATCGCATAATATATATATATAGGAAAAATAATCTCAGTGACCAAAAATACCTTATAATATACGATTTTAATCAATTTTTTTTGGATTTGCCAAAATGACCAACTAAATCGTAATGCGATCGATAATTCGCAACGCGATCTCCGGTATCGTAAATCAGTTTCCAGATTCGCAATGCGATTCTGACTATCGCATTGCGATTTCCCAAATTCGCATTGCGATTTTCCTAAATCGCAATGCGAATACGTAAATCGCAATGTGATTACGTAAATCGCAACGCGAATTAGGAAAATCGCAATGCGATTACGTATTCGCATTGCGATTTACGTAATCGCATTGCGATTTACCTAATTCGCATTGCGATTTACATAGCGCCATTCGTATTAACGCGTATTTTTTTTCAAATTCCAAACACGAATATATTAATATATTAATATTCAGAAATCGAGTTGCGAATTTGAAATTCAATATTGCGATAGTCAGAATCTCGTTACGATTTACTAAATCGCAATGCGATTACGTAAATCGCAATGCGAATTAGGAAAATCGCAATAATCGCATTGCGATTTTCCTAATTCGCATTGCGATTTAGGAAAATCGCAACGCGAATTTGGGAAATCGCAATGTGATAGTCAGAATCGCGTTGCGAATCTGGAAACTGATTTGCGATACCGGAGATTGCGTTGCGAATTATCGATCGTATTGCGATTTGGTTGGTCATTTTGGCAAATCCAAAAAAAGTTGGTTAAAATCGTATATTATAAGGCATTTTTGGTCATTGAGGTTATTTTCTCATATATTAATATATTAATATTCAGAAATCGAGTTGCGAATTTGAAATTCAGTATTGCGATAGTCAGAATATCGTTGCGATTTACTAAATCGCAATGCGATTACGTAAATCGCAATGCGAATTAGAAAATACGTAATCGCATTGCGATTTTCCTAATTCGCATTGCGATTTACGTATTCGCATTGCGATTTAGGAAAATCGCAACGCGAATTTGAAAAATCGTAATGTGATAGTCAGAATCGTGTTGCGAATCTGGAAACTGATTTGCGATACCGGAGATCGCGTTGCGAATTATCGATCGCATTGCTATTTAGTTGGTCATTTTGGCAAATCCAAAAAAAGTTAGTTAAAATCGTATATTATAAGGCATTTTTTATCACTGAGGTTATTTTCTCATATATATATATATATACAGTTGAACATTTTTTTACACTTTTAGAAAAATAAAAAAGAAAAGATACTATAAGATTTGTTGACTTATTAAAAAAATACGATACATACGTCAAATTATCACATGTTTTAAGAGTAGTATGGCATATATATTATTTGATTACATTAATGAAAATGATTAATTTTATGAACATTATCATACATTTTAAAAATACAACAATAAAAATATATAAATTGAGTTCTATCAAAATTAGGTTTTATTTTGTTATGCATATGCATGCTAACTTAATTAAGTATATGTGTTGATTTGGAGTGTAAGTTAAATTAAAATATATTTATAAACAAACTTGTCTCAAGAAAGGGAAAATATATGTATTATTTTGATTATTTTAAAAAGCTAAATACAACTTTTATATATTATATATAAATAATTTTTAATTATATATATTGTTTGCTGGGAGAAAAGAGACAAATAAAGAAGGAAAATTAAGATTCATTTGAGAACGTCTCTCCAAACGAGTTTTTTCAACGTAAAAATATTGTTTTTCTAATTTCTTAGTTTAAATCGACAACTACGTTCTAAATGGGTTTTTAGCTGAAAACGAATTATTTAGAAATACTTTTACGTTTAAACGAAATTTTGGATAAAAACACTTTCTCAAACGGTCTCTTAATGGGGGAGACAATTAGGAGAGTTTCATCCGAACACAACTTCACCCAAAACTTGATCCATTTACATAACTATACCCAACCCCCGAACACATTCAAACCCAACTCGATTCACTCAACGACAAAGTAGTGCAAACAAGGACAAAGCAGATAAAAAAAAACACTTCTGCTCAACTGAAAAATCAATTGGTTGCTGCCGCCGCCGCCGCATTCAATATCTTGGCTTTAAACCTCATTCCAAAATCAGCAAGCTTATCAACGTCGGGGAAAACATCCTTCACCGCCGCATGGGAGGAGAAGCAATCTGCCCACGCCACCAAGCTCGGAGTTTTAGCTTCCGACAACAACTTAGCCCCCGTAAATTTCTCGATAACATTAATCCACGCCACCAAACTGCCCACCGCAAGGTCCACGTACCCTAAGTCGTCTCCGCCGAAGAAAGCTCTCCCTTTGCTCAACTTCTTAAACGCTTCCTCCAACACCACCACTCCTTCTAACACCTCCGCCATCGCCGCCTTCGCAGCTTCCTCCGTTGTGCTCACCAAAACCATTCTCAGGGCCGGAAAAAACTACAACACACAAACAAATAAAACATATTTATCGTAATTACAGACACAATAAGATATTAATATACAATTACAGACGGTTTTTTTATTATTAATATATATGTTCATTTTTTAAAATATTCCTGAATTCGTTACTATAATTACGTATATATAATTACAAACCTCGTCATCGACATAGGCGGCCAAGAATCGAGACTGGGCGCGTTCATAAGGATCGGAAGGGAGAATGGAAGGCTGAGAGGAGGACCAGAACTCGTCGATGTACTGAACGATGATGAGAGACTCGCAGACGGGCTTATCGCCATGGATGAGGACTGGGACTTTCTTGTGAATAGGGTTTGATTTGAGAAGAAGGTCGCTTTTGGCTTCCAGCAAATTTTCTTCTATGTACTGGTAGTCGACGGATTTGAGGTGAAGGGCGATTGTTACCCTCATCACGAACGGGCTTGCCCATGTTCCCAGTACCTTCACGTTGCTATCCGCCATTTCTTTTCCTCTTCGAACTGCAATAAGTTGATTGCTGTTTTTATGTGTATATGGTCTGAGATATAAAGAGCGATATTAATTGTGAGGCTTGAGAGAAATTTCTTTTGATTTCCACTTAATTGTGTGCGGTTGGTTTGTTTCCTTCTTAAAATCTAGGGTAAACTACACTTCATCTCTTAGTTATCTTTTCACTCCTACTTTAATCACTGAAGTTTAATATTTTTCAATTTAATCATTCAACTTTTGAATTTCTCCTATTTTGATTACTCTACAACGACATACATTATTTTTTTATTATTTCTATATGATATGGTATATTTTATTAGTATTTTAATGTCACATAGGATTATAATAAAAATAAATTTAAAAACTCTACCCAAACTCTAAACCTCAAATTATACCTCAAACTCTAAATCTTACCTTCTTTCTCTCGATAGATTTGAAGGTCAAGATGGGATTGACAAAAAACCGGTTGAAGTGTGCCTGACGGCATTGATCGGGACATGGGCAAGGTGTTATGGTGTGTTTCGGTGGGGGTTCAGTGGACATGGAGGCGAGGTGAATGTTTAGTGGTCGAACATATGGGTTTCGAGTTAGAGGTGTGCAATGACACTAGTTCAAATCGGTGATAGGTTTTTGGGCATAGCACGGTGAAAGGTGTTGGGCTTGATTACAAGCAAGACATACGACATGATCAGACGAGTAGCGTTCGATAGGCTACTACAAGATGCGGGAGCATAATTGTGATTAGGGATGGCAAACGGGCAGGTCGGGTGCAGATACCCCCTCCCCCATCCCCATACCCATCTAATATTTTTCAATCCACCACTCGCCCACCACTCATGATGGGTAAAAATTTTCAAATCCACACCCGCCCACGCGGGTACATTCTCAAATCCATCCCCACACCCACTACCCACTAGAGACGTACCCGGCTAGACCCGCCTGACAACAAACTTAAGTTATACATAAGTAACAAACATAAAACAAACACATCTATTAAGAAACATAATAAAATAAACCAATGATTATCTAAGTGTTAATATAGATCTTAAAGTACATAAAACATCATAATAAAAGACATAATTAAAGTCTAGAAACATAAATGACAAACACATAATGTTTTTGTTCTTTGGCACAACATTCTAAAATTTCAAGCAATACTTGTGACATCTGATACTCCAGTATTACAATCATCATTCTCATAAAACACCAATATTGCAAAATATTCGGTTGAAATTTGAATTTGAAAAAGTCAGTTTCAATGGCGTTAAAAATAGAGGTTTTGAGAAGCACAAGTGAAACACTTAATTCTATTCAGTGGCGTTAAAAATAGAAATTTGAGAAGCAACGATCTGACTCTGTTAGCAAAAAACGTGGGTGCTCAGTCACAAGATACTGATTTGTAGAACATTAAGAAATTAAGCTTAAAACAAACATTAAGATGAATCTAAAAAATAATTAAAAATCAGTACGAGCAAATAAAAATTAAACTCTTAAAACGAAATGCATAGGAGCTTAAAACGAAATGACTACGGAATTGACTCTTACAAAAATTAAATTTCAAGTAAAAAGGGAAGAAAAATACCTGAATAAGCTTGAGAGTGAAGACAAGAGGTTTGAAAGAAAAAAATTTATGCATAAACTTATCCCTAATATTTGGTTAAATTACAAGTTATATCTTATACAATATTAGGATTTATAAATTAGCTCTTAAAATTACACCTAAATTCATAATGGTCCAAAATTTAATGGATATTTAGTTGGGCGGGCGGATGCGGTGCGGGCGGATGCGGGGCGGGTAGATGCGATGCGGATGCGGGGCGAGTAAGGTCTCAAACCCATTACCCGCCCACTACCCGCGACGGGTACCACTTTCTAAATCCACACCCGCCCACTACCCACTAAAATTATACCCATTTCCGCCCCAATTGGAGCGGGTGCGGTGCGAAATCCACGAAATTGTACCCGCTTGCCATCCCTAATTGTGATATAAAGAGCTAGGACTTTTATTTTGTTGGGGTTTGGGGTTAGGATGTTTTATTTTATTTCATTTCATTTTAAATCCTATATGACATTAAATACTAATAAAATAAGCCACGTCATACGAAAATAATAATTCAGTTATCAAAATAAAAGTGAGAATATAGTTGGATGATACGATGTTGTAATTTACCCTAAGAGTTCTACGCTGTATGGTGGAGTGCTGGGCCGATATGAATTGCGGGGCTTGACAGAAATTTCTAGATTGGTGGCACCTATTTCATTTTATTTGTTGCTTAAGACACATCATTTTTGGATTTAAAAATCTTTTACAAAAGACTTACATTATAAAAATAAACATTTAAATTTTCTTTTAATATCTCTGTTTTGTGCCTTGAGTTTTTATTTAGTAAACGAAGATATCAATTTTAATGTTGATTGTTGAACGTTGATGATTATTAATTTTTATATTATTATTTTTGTTTTAAATAATAATATCTATTATTATGGCAAGTTCTTCTTTGTTTTATGACATTATCCTTATGATTTTTGGTACGTTTTTCATATATTATTTTGATCGGTTTGGTGCTCACACAAAGATCCTTATGATATTTAATTTTTGATTGGTTTACCTCTGGTTACATATAGTCAGATCCCTTCTTTGGGTTTAATGTTTTTATCATAGTATGAGTTTTTTGTTACTATTGTTTTTCATATATATTTTTTATGTTTGGATATGTTGTAATTTGATTCATTCTATAGTTTTATTAATGAAATCTAGTTGTCATTGTTCAAAATAAATAAATAATTTTGACAAAAGTTTTAAATATATTGTTTTTATTTAAGTATTTAAAATACTTTTTTCATCAAAGTAATTATTTAATGTTATTATTTTAGTTAAAATATATACCTAAAGTATTTTTTTTATCAAAATATATGCTTAAAATATTCTATCATTTTCATTTAAGTGCTTAAAGTATTCTTTAATTAATGTCTCAAGTCAATTTTTTAGAACTTAGATAAAAGATTGAATATATTAAATACATTTTTAGACCAAAAAATACTTTATTTACATAGTTTGATAAAAAAAATGATAATATTAGATACTTTGACCAAAAATACCTTAAGTACTTAAATTAAAAATATATACTTTAAATACATATTTATCACATAACTTATATAAGTCTAGTTAAAACAAATTAGTCATTTTGAATCCAAAGGATACTATTTTTCGTTAAAATAAGTGTCTAGTACTTTCTCCGTTAAATGTCTTATTGTTAAATTTAATTATTATTTGACATATATCATTATTATATTTTTTAAATTAAAAAAATTAAAAATTAGAAGGAAAAATCACCCCTTCCTCCCCCTTCTTTTCCCCAACCTCCGTCTACTTCTCCTTCTCTCCCCTTCTTCCCTTTCCCAGATTCTCTTCCCCCATCAAATTCTCAGTCAGTTCAAATACCCATTAAATTTAAGGTTAAAAATTTAGAGATTGGGAATTTAGAGATTTGCGTAATGACAATAATGATGATCGTTCAATGATTGAGCACCGATAAGTAGGTAATCTTTTGACAACAGAGATGATGGTCGGAGGTGATCGATGACGGCTGAAAATGGATTTAAAATTAAAGGTTTTAGGATTTTGGGTTATTTTGTTATTTAAAAAAATAAGGTTTTTAAAAATAATTTTTCATTTTTCATTTTTATCTTAAAATAATAATTTTAAAATCTTATAAGTCTGACACATGTCACTTAACAACTAAATATAACATCGTGCATGTAAAAGTGTAACGTTAAAAACATTAAACAATCATTTAAATAACAATGAAAAAGTTAAATACACATTTTTAACAAAAAAATTAAAACACTTAAAATTAAATTTAAATATAATTTAAATATTTGTTTATTAAATCTGCCCAACTGTCTTTATTTTGAATTACCATTAAAAACATATCTCCCCAACCGTCTTTATCTTTTTCGGTCAAAATAAGTTGGCTAATTGAACTTTGCAAATAAATTTCTACAAGTTGGTAGATAGGGTGGGCATCTTAATAAGTGTTTGAAAACTGAAATTGAAATTAAAATTTGGTGCAATTTTATAAGCTAAAATATTGGTGCGGCTTCATAAAAAAAATTATAAATGTAATTAAAAAGTATGAATCAGATTAATAATTAAAATAATGCTAAAATTATAAATGTTTTGTTCGTAGAGTTTATAATACGTGGCACATATTTTGGTTAAGTGGGTTATTCGTTTTGGAAATGCTTTATATTTTTATTCGATTTATCTCAAAATTATTATATTTACTGTATATAACATTTTTTTCTTCTGGTAATACAAGGTCTTGGGACATTTTTTTCCATTATAGATCCTAAAAAAAGTTTTTAATGATGTTTGTTTTCCTTAAATAAAAATACATAATAAAATTCGAATTTGTTATTTAAAATTTTATAATACCTTAAATTTTATCATTAAATTAAAAAGTTTATTGACAAATTAACTGAATTTGTTTAAAAGTTTGTAAAATATAATTTATCTTTTGAATGGTGGAGTTTGAACAAGACCGAATATTTAATATGCACGAAAATGTAAGTGTGGATTCTGCCGCCTTACATTATGATACACAAAGAGGTGGATGGCAATATTTAAAAAAAACAAAAAAACATTTATTAATTGATATTTATAACGTCATACATGACAATTTAAAAAAATATATTTCACTTCTAATTTAATACTAAATTAATTGCTACTTATCTAACTTAATTACTACTCGCCCGAACCAAGTGATCTCCGTGATAAAAAAAAATTGTTGTTATTCTTCAAGGACCCAGGTTCAAGCACCCTATAAATACCAAGGGTATGAGAATTCAATATCAAATGATTGAGAATTATCTTTACGATATGTTGTACTTACATGTACGTAGTGAACTTCTAAAACTTCTAAGTTAGTGTAAAGCTCCATAAACCAAATGATCTCAATCTCAATTAAGGGATTGTTGTTGTTATTTCTTGAAGCCTCGGATTTAAACATGACATCTATAAGGATGTACGAGTGTTTACTATTAAATGGTTAATAATCTTTCGA